AGAAGGCCAGAGTCGAGAGTACAGTGTGCATGCTCTACCCAGAGTGCTATTTTGGTTCAACTTGAACAATGAGATCTTGCAAAGGTTGTCACTGCTGTCATTCTTACTTTTTGATAATTTGATTTTAACACAAAATAACTCATGTAAAAAAAAAAAGCAAATAAAACAAATCTCACCCTGATATTCAGGTACAGCAAAGGGAATTATATTTTCTTCTCTCTAGAACCCTGGTGACTTCAAGTCAGTAAATAATAAGAAAGTGACACTGGTCACTTCAAGTCAGAACATGATAAACTTTAAAATATAGGAGATTTTAATCAATGGTTCTCTTTGAATTTTACTTAATTTGTAAAATGTGGAGGAATTCACGATCCCTGTCTCCATAGCTTTTGGAAGCAAGAGGGTATCTTGTGGGGCGTGAGGTGTGGAGTACATGAGACGGCAGATGTAGAAAGCTCGTGAGAACTTTTTACTCCATTAGGAGAGTCAGAATATAAACTTCTATCAACTGATCAACTGATCAAGTTCACTGATGTATATGTAGATACACAAACCTGAAAATATCACATACAAGGAGTAGCTACGCACACATACTGACATACAGCCGTGAAAAATGTAACACAAATCATTTTTAACACAACAATTTAAATCTAAATGAAGATGCTGCTTGAGTCAGACTAGAATCTTGTATCTACATTATACTTTATTCTAAAAGTCTAATATTAAGAAGTCTGAGCTGTCATTCTAATGTTAATGATAGCAAAAGTTTTGAATGAGATACATACCAAGTCTTAAGTGCATTTTACATACATTCTCTTATTTAACCACCAAAACTTTCAAGGATACTGCTATTATCCTTGGCATTTATTCAGCAGGGGAAACTAAAGCTTGGAGAAGTCAGATGCCCAAGGTCACAGAGTTGGCAAGTGGTGAAACCTAGATTCAAGTACATCCTTCCGGCCTCTCAGTTGATTTTCTCTCAGCGATGCCATGCTGCTCCAGGAGCACCAACCCTCTTCTTTAACATCCAACAATCTGATTCCATTCTGCTCATCCTAGTATTTTCCTGTTTCCAAGAGGAATAATTTGTGCTCTGTATTTTCTAGGGAAGGAATGGTGGTGTTGGGGAAGAGAGGTGACTGACTTCTGAGAAACTGCTTAGCAATTTTCCAGACCATGTCATGGGAATAGTTTAACCCCAGACTCAAGGTATTTAGGCGAGCCAGGATGGAGTGTTCTGAGAAAGGAAAGGGTCAGGCAAATATCTCATCCCTTAGATAAAGTCATTGTCCTGTATGTCCTCTGGCCTGAGAGAGCACAGAACAATAAGATCAGCCAAACAGATGTGGGGGCAAAGCTCACTGTGTGCCAGTTTTCTGCAGACACTGAAATGAACATCAAAGAAGGCTTTGAAGTTCAAAAGGAGAAGTCATAAAGAGAGCCTGAGGGTCTGTGAACCTATGAAGGGCACTGTTTCCTTGGCAGTAGTGCTAGGTTTTGAAAGGGAAGAATAAAGAGAGAGGTTATTGAGAAAACTGAGTCTCTTAGGCTTCACTCAACTAACCCACAAAATGGTAAACTCCACGAAGACAGCCAGGATCTAGAACTTCTGTTTGTTTACTATTTACCTATTGCCTAATTCAGAGGAGGATAAATAATAATTTATCCATATGTCAATGATATTTATTAATACTGATTGATTGACAGAGCACCTACTATGTGCTTCTATGCTAACTGCTGGGTATATGGAAGTGGATGAACCAAAGTCCCTGCTCTCATGGAATAAACAAATCAATATAACAGATATTATGTTAGGTGGTATAAGTGCTAATAATAAAAATAAAACAGAGTAAGGAGAAAGAGAATGAAGAAGAATAACAGAGTCAGGAGCTAGATAAAGATAGAGATAGAGATAGAGAGAAAGTGTGATCAAGAAAGACCTAAAGAGCATTTAAGCAGAGAGGTCTGAAGGAATTGAAGGAGTGACAGTGCAGATATGGAATAACAATCCAGCATAATCAATTAATAATTTTAGTTTCCAAGCCCCAAGGCCTCCAACCCCCACTTTTTGAGTGCAGGAAGTCCAGGGACTCCCTCTCAGGAATATCTAGGAATCACCAGATACATTGTCATGTGTTGTTGAATTAGACTTGGCAATTGGCTTAGCCTGCTACATACATGCAACCACATTTTACCATTTTTCATTTCAACTAGTGAGTACATTTCATGTTCTGTTTGTTGGTCATTTTCCTAAAAGGTAAATGGGGAGAGACTATTTCTCATTTCCTACATCTAAGGGAACTTCTGTACTATTTCATATAATTGAAAAGAAATTTGGAATTTCTACTACAACGTGAACTGTTTCAAGCTGTTCTAGTGAGGCGCTAGAGAAGTTTTAAGTTATATATTTAATCACGTGGATAATTCAAGTATTGGACAACACCGACTGACTGCCACTGACCAAGCATTTAACGTATATGCTGATATTTGAGACAACTTCACTCTAAGGGTCAGAAGCACAATGCCCTAGGACATGAGAGTAGTAGTTGTTCAGTGTGGCCATCATGGGAGGGGCCAACCTGGAGAATCAGTAAGCAAGCAGTCAAGTTCTCCATAACTTTTCCAGAAACAATGCATTTCTAGGTATGATCAATCTTTATTCATTTCAAATCTAGCAAACATTTATTTAGCACTTTCGCTATGCAAGATCCTATGTGAGGTGTCTGAAGGGTTTGTAATTTTAAAGAATGAGACTTTTGATTTCATCGCACCTCTGGCTGTTGCTACCATCCTTTCACAGAATTTATCATGCCGTGAATTTTATAGTAATGCACATGTGTTGTTTGAATTATGTAAACAGTTGCATTTACAAAATTGGAATGTTATTGAGAGACAATTGGTCCTTAACAGACTAATTCCCAGTTCTCATCTTTAATGTAGAATGTTTCCACATTATACTTGACCTAAATTCTATGTTCAACAGTTTTTTCCCCCAGGTGGCATGTTTTTAAGTGCCAGATGTAGATGCATTCAGCTATAGGAGAATGTATAAAAGTTGGTGTAGAAATTAATTGGCACACAAGATATCGTTGTCCATTTATTTAAATATTCAAGACTTTATCCATCTAGGAGGAATTTTACTAGCACTTATTTGATAGGCCCACATTATCAACAGCTTATCTCAACATTTCTTATCTTCACATGATAAGCAGATGAGAACAAAATTTAAATATAAGGACTCTCATTCCCAATAGTTACAGGAGATGGTTCCTAGGCTTTGCCTCATTTGTGGAAAGGTGTTTGAGAGGACAAAGGAGACATAGATAATGTTTCACAGCATGATGACAGAGAAGAATCACTTTCTGGTGAGGGAAGATGCCATGCGAAAGGTTAAGATGAAGCAGAGACAACACTGATATTCTACGGTTACTCAGTGACTCAGCCTCACTCATGGGTCATTCCACAGCATCAAAACACTGTGTCTCCCCTGTGAGAGTACAGGGCTACTGTGATAAGGGAGATTCATTTTAAAAATACACTCCTAGCCCATCATAAGTCCAGAAATATTGCATCTAGAAATTATTTTGGAATAGTCATAATTCTGATAGCCCCTTAAGTTGTAGCTAAAGCATTGATCATGCCACTTTTGAATTCTAACAAAAAGTGTGCACATTGGCTATGGAGTAAAAATTCTCTAGCCTACCAACACGTGAGTCTCAACTTCAAGCACTACATAAAAATGACACATGCTTTTGAATATATAGATGATGCTGGTGGACCACCATCAGTAGGAAATGGGTTTTGACTTATTTTTACTTGGTCATATTGAGATGCATTATGGTCTCTTGCTTCTTTCTGTGAGCTTTTGGGCTTAATTAGGAAAAAGCATATATTACACATGCTCCCATGAACCAAGCTTTTTCTCATAGGCTCCAGTAGAACACTGTTTGGTGGTAGGTTGTTAAATACACTTTTAAGGGGGTAAATTTATTAGCAGAAGTCAATATGGTATGTTTAGTGTGAGGCTGTCTTAAAAAAGAAAACAAATTGGACTTTGCCTGCAGACTTATATTTACATTTCAGCTCTACTATATACCAGCTGGTTTTGTATAAACTACTCTAGGCTCTGTTTTACCTACAAATTGAGTTCATGGTATTTATCTCACATTGTGATTGAGATAATGTGAACTGAACATAGTGCTCAAAGCAGTAAACCCTCAATAAGTGTTAGTTTCTATTTTCCATTGAAGATCTACTTGTCATATTTCTAAAAATAGTTAACTCTGACTTCCATGTGCATGTAAGATGGAATAGAAGAATATGAATTTACCCTCCTACCTAAAACAACTTTGAACATGGACAAATTAGATGAAACAACAAGACCACAGGCAACAAAGATCAATGACCTTAAGAGAAGGGAAACAAGTAAGGTGAGGCACTATCATTACCACAGATTACTGCTTGGAGAACATTTCCTGGCCACAGCACAGAGAGGGGGATACCAGGCAGAGTCTGGCAAACCCCTGAGATAAAGAGAGAGAGCTAGGAGTAGGGGAAAGTCAAGGTGGCTACAGCTCTCAAGGCATAGTACAGGAGAGGAGAGAACTGAACAGAGACAGAGCTCTGAAGAATTATAGACGGTCGCTCTCAAATATTCAGTTGAGTACTGATTAGGCATGTGTGTCAGGAAACTATCCACATTGCGTAAAGATTCAGTAGAAATTATTAGAGGAACAGTGTCTGAAGCTCACAAAAGGGCAAGGAACAGTGCCTAATCCCAGTAGCCAAGATGAAAAACTTCATAATTAATGGGGCATGAATTAGAATACTAATAAGGGTTTGCCTCAAAAATGGGATAGATAATTAACCCTAGAGTAAATATTATGCTGGTCCCTCTTAACAAAATTTAAAGGAATGATCCAAAAAGATCAACTATTCTTAAATAACTTAACCATGTCCTAGAACAAAGCTCAGTAATAATTATAAGAATACAAACATACCTGGCATCCAACAAGGCAAATTCCACAATGTCTAGCATCCAATCAAAAATTACAAGGCAAGCAGAGGAGGAAAATAGAATGCATAATGAGAAGAAAAATCAGTCCATCAAAACTGACCTAGAAATGACACAGGTAGTAGAATTAGTAGAAAAGGGCATTAAATCAATCATTATAGTTATATCTCACATATTCAAAAAGCTAGCAGAAAGACTGAATATATTAAGTAAAGATATGGAAGATATAAAAAAAACAAAAATTGAACTTTTAGAGATGACACATACATTTTGACACTGCATAAGGTTAAGAGCTGATTAGACATTTCAGAAGAAAACCTAGTGAACTTGAAGACATAGCTATAGAGACTACTCAAAATGAAACATAAAGAGAAAAGGAAAACCATCAGTGAACGATGGGACTATTTCAAGTAGCCAAACATATCTGTAATTAGAATCCTCAATGGAGTGAGGGAAATATTTGAAGAAATAACGGTCAAAATTTTTCCAAATTTGATAAAAATTATAAACATAGAGATCTAAGTACTTCAACAAACTCTTAGCATAATTAACAAGAAGAAAACTATACCAAGATACTTCATAATAATATTTCTTAAAGCCAAATTAAAGAGAAAATCTTAAAAGCCACATGGGGGGAGGGGGAAGGATATGTTACACACAAAGGAACAAAGATGAAAGTGACAGCAGATTTCTCATCGAAACAATGCAAGCTAGAAGGTACTGCAGCAACATCTATAAAGTACTGAAAGAAAAAAAGTTGTCAACCTAGAATTTTTCACCCAATGAAAATATCTTCTAGAAACAAAGATGAAATAAACACTTTTCCATACATATAAAATGAGAAAATATTTAAAATCAGACAACATAACTACAAAATATGTTAAAGAAAATCCGTTAAGCAGAACAAAATGATATCTGACAAAAACTTGGATGTACAAAAAAGGATAAAGAACACAAAAATGGTAACCATCTTAGCAAATATAAAGAATTTTTTCTCATTATTTAAATCTCTTTAAAAGTTAATTGACAGATTGAAGCAAAATATTAATAATGCACTGTGGAGTTTATAACATACATAGAAGTCAAATGTACGACAATAGCAGGAAAATTGGGAGGGGAGAAATGGAAGTGCATTCTGTAAGGATCTTATACTTGAAGTCTACTAGCGCTTGAAGTTAGACTGTGATAAGTTAAAGATGTATACCTTAAACTCTAAAGCAACAACTAAACTAATGTAGAAAGTCATAGCTAATATGCTAACAAAGGAGATGAAATGGAATCATAAAAAAATACTCAATTAATCCAAAACTGTTGAAGAGAAAATGGAATAAAGAAGACATGGGACAAATAAAAAATAAATAGCAAGATGGTAGATTAAAATGATCACATTGACTGGAAAGGGTGTGAACCCATCAATTAAAGGCAGAGCTTGTTAGATTGGGTAAAACAGATTCAACTACATGCTTTTGTATGAAAGCTACAGATCAATTAAATGTAGAGGGATACAAAACGATACTTTAAGCATGTGAGATTTATTATATTTTGTCTTAGTCCATTCGGGCTGTTATAACAAAATACCACAGACTGGGTGGTTTATAAACAAAAGAAACTTACTTCCCACAGTTCTGCAGGCTGGGAAGTCCAAGATCAAGGCATGGTCATGGTCGAGTTCTGGTGAAGGTCTTCTTCCTGGTTCATAGCCAGTGCCTTCTCACTGTGTCCTAATGTGTTAGAAGGGGTAGGGACTTCTCCAAAGCCTCTTTTATGAGGCCCTAATCCCATTCATGAAGGTTCTCCCTTCATGACTTAAGCACCTCTCAAAGGTCCTGCCCCCAATACTATCATCTTTTGGGGTTAGGATTTCAACATATGAATTTTAGGGAAATACAAACATTCAGATCATAGCATATAGTATTACTTTTACTTCAAAACAGCTGTAAAAAATAGTTGGGTCCAATTTATTTGAAATAAAGCATTTCATAACTGCCTTATACAGCACTTCTCTAAGTATGTTCCTTAGAACTAACATCCTTTAACACGTTTTACTCAAAAAGGGGATTTTGTGGTTTAATAATTGAAAAAATCTGGGTTTAACACAGTTAATTGATTTCTTCGGGAAGGACTCCTGGAAGATTTTAATGTGCAAATATGCATTGTGAATTTCCAATAGGGGAATATTATTCAGTATTTTCCTAGCTAATTTGACCATGGAAACTTTCTTCCAAGATCATTTTGTAGGATTAATATTCCTTAGGCTTTTAATTTGGAAAATGCTGGCGTAAAGACAATGTGATGGTTTAACAGTAGATACAGTTGCTGTAGTAAGAACTTTGAACTCTCTTCTCATGAACTATTACAATTTATGATTAGACAATATAACTCTCATCTAAATTCAAACATTTGAGCAGATTTTAGAAAGACTCTTAAAAAACTGTTCACCGAATGAATAGTTATTTGCTCCCCAGTGAATCCTATACATGAGATGCTTTTTTCCTTTTAAGTTAATAGACTTTATTTTTTTGAGCAATTTTAGGTTTACAGAAGAATTAGGTGGAAAGTACAGAGAGTTCCCATATCCCTCTCACCCTTCCTGGATTTCCCCTATTATTAACGTCTTGCATTAGTGTGTTACTTTTATTATAATTAATGAGCTAATATTGATACGTGATTATTAACTAGAGTCCATAGATTACATAATGTTGTACATTCTGTGGGTTTGTGTTGTACATTCTACAGGTTTGGACAAATGTATGACCTGTATCCACCATTGCAGTAACATATGGAAGAGTTTTACTTCCCTAAAAATCCCCTGTGCTCCACCTATTCATCTCTCTCTCCCTCAATCCCTGTCAAACATTAATCTTTTTCACTGTCTCTATAGTTTTGCCTTTTCCAGAATGTCATATTGTTGGAATCACACAGTATGTAGCTTTCTCAGATTGGCTTCTTTCTTAGCAGTAGCATTTAAGTTCCCTCCATGTCCTTCCGTGGCTTGATAGCTCATTTCTTTTTATTGCTGAATAATATTACATTGTTTGGATGTATCACAGTTGGTTTATCCATTCATCTCTTGAAGGACATCTTGGTAGCTTCCAAGTTTTAGCAACTATGAATAAAACTGCTATAAATATTTGTGTTCAGGTTTTTGTGTGGAATGTTTTCAACTCATTTCAGTAAATACCAAGGAATGCGATTGCTCCATCATAAGAGTATAAGTTTAGTTTTGTAAGAAACTGACAAACTGTCTTCCAAAATGGCCGTACCATTTTGCATTCCCATCGGCAATGAATGAGAGTTCCTCTTGCTCCACATCCTCACAGCATTTGGTGTTGTCAGTGTTCCAGATTTTGGCCATTCTAATAGGTGTGTAGTGGTAGCTCACTGTTATTTTAATTTGCATTTCCCTGATGACATACCATGTGGAGCATCATTGCATATGCTTATTTGCCACCTGTATATCTTCTTTGGTGAGGTGTGTTTTCTGGTCTTTTGCTTATCTTTTAATTTGGTTGCTTTCTTATTGTTGAGTTTTAAGAATTCTTTGTATATTTTGCATACCAGTCCTTATCAGATATGTTTTGCAAATATTTTCTCCCAGTCTTGGCTTGTCTTTTCATTCTTTTAACAGTGCCTTTCACAGAGCAGAAGTTTTCAATTTTAATGAAGTCCAACCTACCAATTTTTTCTTTCATGGATCATGCTTTTTGTGTTGTACCTAAAAAGTCATTACCAAATCCAGCGTCATCTAGCTTTTCTTCTATGTTATCCTCAAGGAATTTTGTAGTTTTACATTTCAAATTTAGGTATATGATTCATTTTGAGTTAATTTTTGTCAGGGGTGTAAGTTCTGTGTTGAGATTCACTTTTTTGCAGGTAAATATTCAGTGATTCCAGCACCATTTGTTGAAAAAACTATCTGATCTATTGTACTGCCTTTGCTCCTTTGTTAAAAACCACTTGACTATATTTTTGTGGGTCTATTTCTAGGCTGTCTATTCTATTTGTCTATTCTTTCACCAACATCACATTGTCTTGATTACTGTAGCTTTATAGTAAGTCTTGAAGTTGGGTAATATCAGTCCTCTGACATTGTTTTTCTCCTTCAATATTCTATTGGCTATTCTGAGTCTTTTACCTTTCCATGTTAACTTTAGAATAATTTTGTCAATTTCACAAGATAACTTTCTGGGATTTTGATTTTGATTGTATTAACCTATAGATAAAGTTGGGAAGAACTGACATCTTGACCATATCTTTATACATAGGATTCTTTAATAAATTAATAAATCTGAGAGCCATAACTTCCTTCTTGTAGCTTGCATTATCTTAGTTTTTTCCTCGCTACTAAGACCTTTTTCAGTATGTCCTCTTTGTCCCTCATTTGCCTTTTTTGCACTATAAAACATGATTTCTGCCCAGAGCTTATAACCTAAACCAGAGAAATGAGAAACTCTGGGATAAGATGGAGAAAATGAAGGTAGGAAGGATGGGAAGGTACGTTGTAGAATGAATAATATGCACTGGTATTCACGAATATGTACATGAATATGCACTGATACTCATCACCCACACAAAGACTTGGCACCTTGCACAATGCGTTGACAAAACATTTCATTAATTAGTTAAACTTAATTTATTAGTTAAATAAATAAGCAAATGGATGACTTGCAAATATGGCATCTTAGACATCTATCAGTAGTGAAATCCATTGTGACATTAATACAGCTTCTTTGAGTTAATCTTGTCTATAAGTGTGTTTAGATTATTACAAGGACTTGTATATGTAGTTTTGTGAGTACGAAGTATGCTGTTATATGTTCCGTCAAAAAATCAAAATATTCTTTCTAGACTAGTATGTGTCCATGCTTAAACATAGCAATCACTAGCAAAAATACATTCCAAAAGCTACATTTCTCCATGTGCTTCAATTCATGAAACCATCAGTGACAAAAGTGGATAGTATTTTGATAGTATTTTGATAACAGCATTGCAATGTGACATCTGTGGGTGAAACTGTGACTCAGAGATTGGATTTTCTTCTCACTCAAGGAGTTTTTGATGAGATCTTAAAACTTTGCCATAATTTTCTCATTTTGAC